GATAATTCTACTGAGGAAGAGCAGCTGAGCAACTCAGAATCACATTGCAAATAAGTCTCTCATTAGTGCACAGAATGAACGTGTTTGGGTGAAAACACAGTGTGTTCTTAGCTGCGAGGATCTCTTAATTTCATCTATTCACTGAGGTGCAAATATATGAATTTCATATATCTAAAATCATCATAAATTACTTGGATGGTTTATTTGGACCCAATACACTGACCAGCTCCCAGTTGGCTTATTAGCTCAGCTGGTAGAGCGCTGCACCGGTATCGCAGAGGTCATGGTTTCAAATTCCGTACGGGTCTGAATTCCTTTCAGGTCCTATTTTCAACTACCAGGTGTTCTTAGCTGCGAGGATCTCTTAATTTCATCTATTCACCGCAGTGCAAATATACGAATTTCATATTTCAAACCCGTAGGGGCCTGAATTTTTTTCAGGTCCTATTCAAAACTACTCGTTTCAGTAGTGTTCTTAGCTGCGAGGATCTCTTAATTTCGGGTATCAAAAGCTGGTTTAATTCCAATTGAATTAGGCAAAGCCTTTACGACAGCTTTTCTCGTTGGTGAAGAAGCTGTAAAAGAATATCTTTTGTTGGAATCCTTCCTAGCATACCTCAGTAGTGACGAAAGAGAACTGGTTAACCTCTCTCTGAATGGGAAGCTGGACAAAGAACAGGAAAATGAATGGTTAGATCTTCTGGAACGTTTTAACTGGGAGACTGTTCCCAAAGCAAAACAAGTCAAAGATGTCGTCTTGGAGATTGCCCACAAAGAGGTCATTCAAACTCCAAGATATATTGTAGACAGCTGGAGCGCGCCGTTGTCAGCATTTCACCGCGAGTTTTCGTCAACAGATTATCTTCTGGAGATGTTTGCACGAGGTAAACCAACCAACAAAAAGATCATCACATTTCACGCAAATCTGAGCACAGGGGGAATCCTTATCCTAATTGAAACACGTTTTTCGGGGGAATGGAAGATGAGAAATTAACAAAGTTCCTAAGATTTTGTACAGGCTCTTATATGGTGTGCGTTGAAAAGATCACATCGGTTTTAACAACCTAGAAGGCGCGGAGAGGCGACCAGTCGCACACACCCCCAGAGCAGTTCTGAATCTTAATGCCACATATCCATCCTTTCCGTTGATCGGGGAGGAATGGAACAGCACATTGTCCTCAGAGTATTGGGTCACTGACTTTGTTTGAACTCTCACTTAAATCTGCACACGAGAACTGCCTCATTGCTGTGCATCTCGTAATCCTTGGCAGTCCTAAATCAGGCTGAATTTTTACACAATTGATTGTAATTGGTGTGATTATACCACAAGCGAATTGCTTAATGGATGTTTCAGTTTTATTTAGAGGAAATTGCGTTATTACTATCGGTATTACTTCCAGTACTTATTTAAACTTAACGAAATTATAATAAAAGGAAGTTTTGGGGATTTTTTTCGCGTTACCATTTCAGTGATAGCTTCAAGATTTGAAAGGAATTGAAATTGTGACGCTTAATGCATTTATTACAATAACCATTTATATAGTACTGATTGAAACTGTAGCAGGTGTTGGTAATTTATATAGGGCTTGATGATGTTTGATTTTTAATTTGATTTTTTTGGAAGTTTATAGGGATGTTATGTTTTAAAAAACCTTGATTGATAATGAAACTGATTCATAAAATTATTGTTTAACTATATATTCAATCTAACTTTCATATTCTAGACTGCGATTCAAGCCTGTGGAAATTTTATCTCATTTCTTTATATTTTGTGACAACTTTTTGATGATTGCATGAGTTATACTGTTGTGTTAAACTAAAACCTTGATATAAATTTTGGTCAGTTTGCTTATTCTCCAGTCTGATTGGTTATGCAATCGATTAAAATGTAAAATGTAAACTGCATTTGACTGTATCCAGACCGCGGGCAGAGGCGGAAAGTGCCTGCGCTGACTTTGAATGTTTATAACTTTTTTCAAAATTCAGTCAGATTCTACCAAACTTGGCGAGTTCATCTAAAATTTATCTGGGAATAGTTTTGTATGAGCTTGCTGTGGAAAAATTTTGAAATCCAAGATGGCGGCTGATTAGACATAATTAGGTAATTCCTACGTGATATGACGCCATCATCCCAAGTGACTTAAAGCAAAAGATAGATTTTTTGCCATACTATGTACCCTCTAAGTTTCAATGTCATTGTTATTGTTTAATATTATGGAAGTTATGGAGGGAGTAGTTAAATTAAAAATAAATACAACTACCATCATTCCCTGCAAGCACATCATATAGAGGGAATTGGGAATATTTTGTGAACCATTATGCTCTACCAATTTCCATGGCATTCTTTACATTTATATGCAATGAATAATGCCTTGTTCAACTGAGACAAACACTGAACTTGTAAATCACCTGCTTTACATTTGTAAAACCACGTTCAACACCATTTGGGCAGTACCGATGGAACCAGATGCCATTTGGCGTCTGTTCAGCACCTGAAGTGTGACAACGCACCATGCACGAGTTTGTGGAGGATCTGGAAGGAGTGGAAGTGCTAGGAGATAACTTCCTGATTGCCGGATTTGGCACTAATGACCAAGAAGTAAACAACAGTCTCAAAAAGACATAAGCACGCTTTTCTCAAGAAATGCCGCTTGTGAAAGCTGAAATTGAATCGTGCCAGAGTGAAACGGAACCAGTCTAGCATGAAATTCATGGGTCAGCTACTCACCTCTCAGGGTTTGAGAAGATACAGGCCATGTTGCAGATGCCTGAGCCTAAGGTCGTCACTGCATCGAAGTGATTCCTTGGGATGGTGACCTATCTTGCAAAGTTTATGCCTCACCTATCAGAGATGACAGAGCCACTCAGACGCCTAGAAGACAAGAATGTGGAGTTCCAGTGGCTGCCACTATACTCCCTCGCAATGAACACAATCGAGAAGTTCCTGACGGAGACACCCACCTGTTCTTCGCTATTATGATGTAAACAAGCCATCACTGTCCAATGTGATACAAGCCAGGCTGGCTTAGGGGCTGTATTGCTGCAAGATGGCCAGCCTGTTTGTTATGCCTCCTGAGCCCTTGGTCACTTGGTCGTGTGACAAAATGGACCAACACCTCTTGGGGCGAGACATAGTCACTATCGAGACTGACCATGAACTATTGAAGTCCATTTTCAAAAAAGAAATTCACAAGTCACCCAAGCGTCTGTAGTGAATGCAGCTGGCCCTACAAAAGTAGAACCTCGAAGTGCAATGCAAGAAAGGTACACTAATGTATATTGCAGATGCATTGAGTTGGGCATATCTGAAGACCACTGATGGAGTTCAGACGAAATTCTGTGAGATTCGTGTACTTGAGACAGTTGAACATGAAGAGCATATTCAAATTAAACCGCCGAAACGAGATGTTTTCCATGAACAAATTGCTGCAGATGGTGATATTCAGGAACATATCCATGTTATCAAGCTAGGTGGCCAGACAAGAAAAATTGCCCCTCTGCTGTCCAACTGTATTATAATGAGCAAAACGAGTTGATAAAGTCGCAGGGTCTAGTTTTTCGTGGCAAACAGCCTGTACTACCCCTTTCACTTCGAAAGGACATGCTAACTGAGCTCCACATTAGTCACATTGGCATTGGAGGACGTGTTTGTTTCTCGTTGTCCAATCTGTCAAACATACCGTTTAGCACAGGCTTGCAAGGAGCTTCAACCACATGAACTTCCTTTGCGCCTTTGGCTGAAAATTTCCGCAGATCTGTTTGTCATTGGGCAGAAGACATTCCTGATAATGGTAGACTACTGGTCCAATTTCTTTGAAGTAGTTGAGATTCACAGGAGGACAGCACAAGCTGTAATTACCCAATTTAAGGTGCAGTTTGCCCGACATGACATTCCTGAAGTGCTGATCAGCAATAACGGTCCTGAATTTGACAACCAGGAATTCAAGAATTTCTTCACAGATTGGCAGTTCAAGCACCGAACTTCAAGTCCAAGATATCCACAAGCGAATGGAAAAGTGGAAAATACCGTGAAGACCTGCAAAGGACTCCTCTTTAAAGCGAAGGAAGACAAACGAGACCCATTATTGGCAATCCTCTGATGGCGCAACACCCCAAGTAAGGGATTCAGAACCTCACCAATACAAAGGCTGATGGGTCGGTGCACACACACCTTGCTACCAACTGCTGAAAAGTTACTCCAGCCAAGCAGTAACCTGAGGACCACAGCGAGAAGTTTGGCCACTAGGAAAAGACTACAGTACAAGCAGTACTACAGTACTTCATTCCCATGAAGGTGGGAGAGGCAATCCGAATGAAACTACCTGGGGAACAGAAATGGAAATTAGGTTGCTGCTCACGTCTTCTTGACCGACGCTTATATGAAGTTCAGGTAGATGGACAGTCCTTCCACAGAAACCACCACCAGCTGCACTCCACCCTGGAGCCCTCACCACTGCCAAGTAGCAACAATGAAGAGCCGCACCAGACTGAGAATGAAAGCAGATCACCACATCAGACTGAGAATGAAAGCAGATCAGCTTTTTGCCAAAGCCTGTACCAGACCAGTGCCAAACCCCACCGGCTCCTAGGATTTAGGAGAATGACACATTGTTCCCCGCACACTCTGTCCCAGACAGCACAGATTCAGTCTCAGTTCTCCTACCTAAATGCTCTGGGTGAACTAGATATACCCCAACCTGGCTCGAGGATTATGACTTATGTTGAACACTTAAACATTGACTTGAGCTTGCCTCTATCCTATTCTATTATTATTTGTTGTTGTTGTTGTTGTCAATGTTGTAATGGAAAGGGATGTGGCGTGACATGCGTGACTATAGTTATGTGATCAGCAAGTCACACGAACCGTCGCGCCCCATGGTACCTCAGTCGTCACAAACAGAAACCTGAACAGGACGTTAAAAAGTTTTGTAGTAGTTTAACCTGTAGCTCTGTGATTTTATTGTCACCGAAACTCCACAGCCGCAAGTACTGAAAATTACATGGTATGTCCAGTATGTAGCTGCACATATGTGGAATATGATGGATGCCTGCGCTGTGGGGAGGACAAAGAATACGATTGTTCTCTAATTTCTGATGGAGGAGGTACTACTGATAATCCAGTTGGTCTTACTTTAGATAAATTAAGAAGTACATGAGTAGCATTGCCCTCAAATTGTGACTTAGTAGGAAGAGCAGCTGGGAATGAAGGCAACATGGCTGAAGGAGCAATGCACCATGCTCAAGACCCTGCTTACCAGGTATCTCCTCCTGCCCTAATCTTTAGGGGACAGGTTTCTCCTCCTGTCATAGGTTCGGGAGAACAGGCTTTGTTAACTGTTACTAAACTATAAATAAAGGGGTAAGTTTCTAAAGAAACTGTGGTGCTGCGTCGGTGGGAGAGTATAGCAGGTAATTTAGTGTTAACAACTGGGTTGAAAACGTGAATTAGCCACCGTAAAGAGTACTCTCTTTACTCCACTCTTTACGGTGGTTAATTTACGTTTTCAACCCGGTTGTTAACACTAAATTACCTGTTAATAAACTAGCCAATTAGAACTAGGGGCTGGGGTTGGAGTCATTTGTGAAGTTTATTCATTATTCTGGAAAGAATTTTCAATTGTTATGACTGGTGGGGAGAGGGAGAGAGTTCCCTTTCTGCCACATGACAATTTTGTGGGAGGGTCGGAGGCTGTGGGGAGAATTCTTGTCAAGGGTTATGTTTCCATTTCCTATTTCATTTCCTATTTTTTTGTCAAAGGCATGTTTATACATACATACATGCATACATACATACATCTTTATTTAACAACGCAGGTTATGAAAATTGGCAAGACCAAAGTC